TTAATAACTTATAATAAAACCAATTGAGCTATTTAGGTAGATACCTATCTACCTTAAAGATTACCTAATATATAGGTTAGTATAGAAAATGATAGGTATTTATGTATCATATGACTTGTTCTCCCAAGGGATTCATCCAACTACTACAAGATTCCTTAAATTAATTTGTGTTAATTTATGTATATTGCAGGTTTTATCATGCACTGACACAGCAATACAAATTTTTAGTACATACATACCCAGTCCTTTTAGCTATTGAATAAGTAACATTCCTTCTAAAGCATTCAAAACTTCTCAGGATTTTCTCCAAATTCAATGTTCTGTAATATGTAGTTAGTAAAACAATTAGGTATGTGATTCTGACTTCTTCCCTGTTCTGAAGTGAACTGAAGCCCAAATGATCTTTTTTTGCCCTAGTCGGACCTTTGAATAAAATTCCCAACCCCACCTTATTGCATGACTTCCGTCCTATTTCACTCCTTTCCAACCTATCAAATTTGTTAGAATGCTTTGTACAAAATCAACTCTCCAACTTCCTAGAGGAACGTTCCCTTATCAACCCATTCCAATCTGGCTTTTGACCTGGTTACTCAACGCATTCCACTCTCCTTAAAATAACCAATGACCTCCAAAACTCCATTGAACACCAAAACCTTACTATCCTCATCCTTCTAGATTTTTCCAAAGCGTTTGACGCAGTAGACCATAACATCCTCCTCACTAAATTACACAGCCTTCCTCTATCCAACAGTACCCTGCGTTGGTTTAAATCATTCCTTTCAAATCTGTCCCAGTATGTAGTTGTCCCAGGTCAACCTCCATCTAAAATCCTCCCCCTCTGCTGTGGTATACCTCAAGGTCCCTCTGTACCTCCTACTCTGTTTGCTATTTATATTAATGACCTTCCCCTCCCGATCCATCACTCCCAATACCACATCTATGCAGATGATTTCCAAATATATCTGTCCTGCGAGCCCACCGGCTTATTATCAGCCACAGTAAAACTTCATGAAGACTTGGATAGGATTTGTGACTGGGCGAGAGCTAACAAGTTGAATTTGAATGCAGAAAAGACAATCTTAATAGGCTCCAATCACCTCCTTAAAACTTTTCCTAATATTCCAACTCTGTTCCTACATGATTATCCCATCAAATTCTATCCTTCCATCAAAAACCTTGAAATGATCTTTGATCAAACACTTTCTTGGAAAAATCATATATCCAACATCTCTCGCCGTACCATTTCCAGCTTAAAACGTCTAAATTACTCCCGTCACCTATTTCCGCTTGAAACCCGTAGACTCCTAGTAACTTCCTTAATTTTTCCCCACTTTGACTATTGCTGTACGGTATATGGGGGTGGCTCTGGGGATCTCGAAGCAAAATTAAAACGTTTGATAAATTGCTTTGTACGATTCACCTTCGGGATCCCAAGGGACGCCTTTGTTTCCCGTTCTTATGTAGAGTTGAAGTGGCTTTATCCTTCCTACCGTCGTAAGTATTTCCTGGAAATCCTTCCTCTTTCAAGTCATCCAATCCCACCGCCCTTCATATATCTCCGAGCTCCTTCCATTCAAATCTTCTGTACGTTCCTGCAATACTCGTTCCCGGTCTTCTGATTTATACATAAGGGTCCACAGAGCTGCTGCTTTCGACAGATCTTTCATTATCCGATCCTCATCCCTATGGAACTCCATCCCTCCCGACATCCGTCAATCCAAAACCCTTCCTATCTTTAAAACCCGCCTGTTCAATCATTTCTTATCCATCCAGTCCCTATGAAATTGTAAATAGTTACTACTGTAAATATGTATATAAATTATCAGATCGTTCTTCATTATTTTTACTACATGTTTATTTTCAATTTTTTTTTTTATTATTAACTGATTTAAATTAGAAAGTAACTTACAATTTCTTTTATTATTTTTTTTTATTTTGACTATTCACTTACTCTATATTTTTGTTTATGTATCTCTGAATCTCCTTAGCCCACATGTTTGTCTTTCTGTATTATTCTAAAGGGATTTGTCCCAGAATAAATATAATTATAATAAGCATTATTATTATTATCTTTATTATTCTCGCTTTTGCGGATTCAAAGCTGAAGGTGGAGGGCTAGTCCAACCACCTGCAGTTAAAATTTTTTTTTTTAGATATTAAAAAACTTTCTCGTAATGCTGACTGTATCCAAGAGAACCGCTTGCTGAGCCTCTCTTAACACATCAAGGGGTAATTCCAAGTCGTCCGTACCTGCCACCATTGACTTTGGGATCAGACCATTGGTTGATATTATTATTGGTGTAACCATTACGCTTTCCAAATGGTACAACTCCTTTAATTCGATCGCCAGTTCTTGGTACTTATGGAGCTTCTCTCCCACGGTTGTGCTTATATTGTTATCGTTTGGAATCGCGATATCTATTAACTTTGTGTTCTTTGCTCCTAAATCTATAATAAGGATATCGGGTCTGTTGTGACGCACTGTATGATCCGTTATTATTGATTTGTCCCAATACATCTTGAAGGAGCCTTTCTGAAGTAGCCCTATTATTATTATTATTATCACTTCCTTAAGTTTTGGACACTATTTACATTACAACATATATAAAGATATAATTAGTAATATAGCAAACTGAAAATTAATGTTAAACAACAAGATTTATCAACTTTATTTAAGGTTAGACTTATAGATAATATATCAGAAATACATCTTATGTTATGATAACTTTTATATATATATATATACTAGTAGGCCCGTGCGAAAAATTCGCACAGCATATTGTTATCAAATGCCAAATTAATAAGAAAATAAAATAATACAAGGTATCAAAAGATAAAGAAATCAAATGTTACTTTATCGATACATATAATCGACAAAGAAAACAAAAATTAATTTAAATCTTCATTTTTGTTTGGAACCAATATGTTCACAAATTTCAGTAAGCTGTATCTGTTAAAAATAGTCCGATTTCGATGATTTTTTTTTTTCATTTTGTAGGGGATTTAGTAATCTTTTATATGATCATGGGCATAACCAATGGAAAAGTGTGTAATTTTTTATTTATTCACAAATAAAGTTTGTTTTCTTTCATAACTTGTTTGCCTGAATTTTCGGGGTGATTGGACTATTTTTCCCAGCTGAAGGAGAAGGGAACCTTCGAATTTGTGGCTCAATCTTGAGATTTGGTGAAAAATTAACGATGATATGGTATGCAGATCAAAAACACCATCGATAAATAATATAAACTCCTCCTCTCTCGATCATAGAGACCTCAAGTCGACGAAATGAGACATGTATTCAATGACAGTACCACAATTAATGTAAGGCTGTATGGATGCGAACCCTATGCCTTGCGTTATCTCGAAAATAGTACGTTTTTGGGCTTAAAAACGCATGATCCGATAGTTCCAGAGGAACTATCCGGTTCTTGCTGTACGCATCAAAATCTTCAAGATCCAATTTGTCCTGTATCGATCTACAGACCTACCACCGTTCCAGTATTGAAGCCTAGCAAAATGTTTGTATCGACTTTATTTATTTTAGAAAGAAAAACAAAAGTGGAGAATACGATTCGCTAACCCCCGTGAAATTCTGAATCCAACAGTACCCCATTCATGGTATTTGAGCATGACAGGAGCTTATATTTGGTACAAAACCGATTTCGAGCCTTACTGTAATAATATATGTGGTGATATATATAAGTTATGTGTCAGCAGGTTAAAAATATTGCAAATTGTCACTTGAATAAGTATTCAATGAATGCAAGAAACAAATTTACTTTATTTGAACACGGCAAAGATAATAATGAATAATAAAATTAAATCAAACATGTGGTGTCATTATTGAAGTCTATTAGATTCAACTATGAAATGGTATTATGACTAATACCATTGCATTTACGAATCATAACCCCCCCCTCACCGGTTTACGAACAATTTTTGTAAACTTTGTATAATAGAGGATAGTCAGCTTAGCAAAAATCATTGTCCTTCTTATGCCTACAACCTTCTCCAATTAAAGTCCTCAATCCATTCCCTCACCACAAGATCTCGAAATTCTGACCTATACATCCCTTCTCATAGACTGCCTCATTCCAAAACTCCTTTATAGCCCGCTCTGTCAACTTTTGGAATTTCCTCCCAATCAAAATTTGGCCACATTCAAAAACCTCCTATTCCAATACCTGTCCCAAAAACAGTCAGATACCAGCTAACTTTTAACATTATATATGTATTGCGTAGCAATCATATAATCATACGATAATACTTTGTAAGAGATAGTACATGCATTTCCTACTTTATATATAATATCCTGCAATATATAACAACCCCAATAAAGACTTTGATTTAAGTAATATCGGTTGTCATTGCATCCCTTTCCCGTAAAAAATTTCCATGTACATGGACAGTCCTCAAGTTTTATCACAAAAAGTAGACACAACACAGATCACCACACTACTGGATTGTAAAATTCCAAGAGAGAGGAGAATACGTTGAGGGAGAGTTCTCTCAGATCCGGTGCAACCTCTGGAATATTAATGTAAGTGACCCTGTTTGGGTTCGAAAAAACACTGTAAAATGTATATTTTTCAATTTTTGAATTTCGAGATAATATATAAGGTGCAAGCTAAGCAACCGAAAATAATTACCATTTCCAGCCTAGCCTCAATTTCTTCTTTAGTATATTTTTTTTCTAGTTATCGTCGACCCTATTACCTAAATTTTTCTACGTGCTCAATCTTATTCCCTTCAATGTAAATAATTTTGCGGGCTCACATGTGCCCATGGGAATAAGGTTGGAGATCCCTGCCTTAAGGCATTTGATTTTATAATACTCGATTTGTTCAATCTTTTCATTTAGTTTCCTTCATATGAGGAATAATCATATTTATAAAAATTGAAAACTTCGGTTTATACCTCTTAATTTCTTAAATACATAATTGTATTGGACATGGCTTATTAGCCTTCATAGCTGTAAATTATTTGTATTGTATTTGTAGGTGAACACTATTGGTCAATTATATGATTTATTCAAACAAAGCATTGATTCTCTTCTTCCTTTTTGGAGAATATGTAAAAACTTAGATGAAAAATCTTGGGTGGTTGAGCCTTCAAAACCTCAGAAGAGAGATGTATATCGCCGAATTTTAATAAGTACTGTATCCTTTATCCTTATCACTTATATAACATAAATATTAGTGAATGTTAGTATTTTAGAAATTATTTGGTCAAATACATTAATTACTGTTTCTTAGTAAAAGATATAATAATAATAAAAGGCTTAGCGAATCCGAAGGTTCGATGCCGACACCACCAATCGCTTATTACACACCTTCCTCCACCGTTCGCCGTCCAAACCCAGTCCCTTCAGATCGGCTTTAATGCAATCTTCCCACATTCGCTTCGGTCTACCCCTCGGTCTACTCTACGCTTACCATTCGGCACAGCAAATATTAACCTTTTAGGAATTCTCTCGTTACTAAGTCCAACAATTTTACAAGCCCATTTGATTCGCGGCGATGAAATTACCTCAATTATATTACCCGGATATAGTTCACGCAATTCGGCGTTGTGTAACCGTCTGAACTCTCCGGTTAACTCATCCTTCTTCGGTCCGAATATTCTACGCAATACTTTATTTTCAAACACCTTAAGACGCTGCTCATCCCTTAATGTAAGTGGCCAAGTTTCACATCCATAAAGAACTGTAGACAAGATAATTGTTTTATAGATTCTAATTTCTAAGTTCCGGGACAAGTGGCCCGAACTGAGTAGTTTTGTCACAGAAAAATAACAAGCATTTCCCGCTTTCAGTCTAACCTTAATCTCTTCTTCAATTTCACTTTTTTCTAGTTATCATAGAACCTAGATACCTAAATTTATGTACCTGTTCAAACATATTACCATCTATATCGATATCACCAGTAGTATCGCCATTTTTGCAGCTAACCATATATTTTGTTTTATCCACGTTTATTTGGAGTCCTAGTTTTTTACCGGCTTTCATTAACGTTGTTGTATTTAGTTTTATAGTTTCAACGTCTTCGCTTAACAGTACCAGATCATCAGCATAGCCCAGCACTGATGTTGTCCCACCCAGATCCAACCCTTTTTTGTACGCATTACCTCCCTAATGGCATGTTCTAATGCCAAATTGAACAGTACAGGCGAAAGGGAATCCCCCTGTTTTAAACCCGAACGAACCTCAAATTTTTCCGACAGATTATTACCGATTCTAACTTAATTGAGTGTCTCCGTCAAGCACATCCTGACTAGATTTACTAGTTTTTTTGGAATCCCCTGCTCGATTAGAATATTATACAGTTTCTGGCAGTCAATAGAATTGTAAGCCTTTTTAAAATCTATATACAGCTGGTGAACAATACCGTTTTACTCCAATTTTTTCTCTAATATAGTTAAACGATTCCGTCGAAATCCGCATTGGTAGTCTCCGATAATTTCCTCGGCGTATTCCGTGATTCGACTGGTTAAGATTAAAGTGAATATTTTATAACATACCGGAAGGAGTGAAATTCCTTGATAGTTATTACAATCTGTCCTCGGGCCCTTTTTGTGAATTGGAATAAGAATAGATTCTTTCCGTTCCTCAGGTAATTTCTCATTCACCCAGATCTTTTTAACCAACCGATGTATTTTAGAAACTCCAGCTTTCCCGCCTTAATTGCCTTAATTAGTTCAGTAGGAATATTATCGGTTCCCGCTGCTTTATAAGATTTTAATTTTCTGATAGCTACTTCAACTTCCTCTTTACTTGGTCCTTCTATTAACGGTTCAGCACTCTGGTACTCAGAAGGAGAACACAGATCATAATTTCCCATATTTAAAATATTGTCAAAGTGGTCCTTAAACTGATTCAATATGCTAACCGGATCGGTCAGAATATTGGTCAGAATATCGGTCAGAATATTGTTATCATCCCTAATTCCAGACGTTACAGACCCTACACATTTTCGTGATCTGTTTATACCTTTGTACATGTCTCTTACGTTATTTTCGATTCTATTTCAATTATTTTATTTTTAAGATACTCCCTATTTTTATTTTTGAGCAATTTTGTCGTTTCGTTCTTTGAGGTTCGTAAGTATTCCAGATTGTCTTCGCTAGGATTATTTAGAGCTTTTAATTTAGCGGCTTTTCTTTTTTCGCACACGTTTAAGCAATCTTCATCAAACCACGGTTTGTTATTCTTATTTTCCTTTTTTCCTAGACACGAGTTACCGACCGCTTTAATATTATCCCTGATCTCTACCCATAACTTGTCAATATCCTCGTGGTCCTCTTCAGGAAGCTCTAAAGCTTCAAACCTATTCTTAACATCTAGCTCGAATTGGGTTCTAATTGATGGATTTTTTAATTTTTCCAAATTAAAATTCGCAAAATCGAAAAGGTTTTCTTTTCTCTTTTTTATATTAAGTTTTTGTTGAAGTTTCGCGATTACTAATTCATGATCTGACCCACATTCTGCTCCGCGATAAGACCGTACATTAATTATACTGCTTTGCCAGCTATGTTGTATCAAGGCATGATCGATTTGATTTCGTGTTTGCGAATCCGGTGATGTCCTAGTATATTTATGAATATCGTTATGTTTAAACGTCGTACTTTTAATTATCAGGTTTTTCGAGATGGCAAAGTTTATCAGACGGATCCCATTATCATTACTATATTCGTGCAAACTTTCTTTACCAATCGTCGGAATACAAACTTCTTCCCTTCCTACCTTTGCGTTCGCGCCACCTACAATTATTTTCATGTAGTTTTGCGGTAGTTTATCATAAACCCATTCCAGTTTATCGTCACTGTCTTCGGTCGGACAATGTATGTTTATTAATGCGATTTTAAACCAACGTCCCTGAAATATAGCTACCGAAATTCTATCACTAAAGAATTGTACGTCCCTCAAAGCGGATAGTAATCTACTCCTAATTAGAAACCCGGTACCTAAACAATGATTCCCGCTTCCTCCGTACCAAATAGTGTACTTTCCTTCCCTCATCGAGTCCTCCTCTGGCCAGCGAACCTCTTGCAGAGCCACGACATCCAAATTGTACTCATTTACCTCATTCGTGACCGATTTTAGCCCCCCTGCTGTGTTTAAACTCCTTACGTTCCACGTACCAATATTTAAATCCCTATATTTCAACTTGCGCCATGAATCCCCTAAAGCAGTCTCCACCCGGAGACCCGAACGGGGGACTAGTTTACCTCCGGATAATGAGCGTTTTACCTTAGGGAGATCCATGACTATTTGCGGTGTAGTAAACTAAAGATATGTGAGTAGGGCGTTCAATCCTACATCACACCCTCCAGCAAGTCTGGTGGGCCCCTACCTCCAGCAAGTCTGGGGGGCTCCTGTCATTGTTGGTCAGCGAGTCCATCGGACTTAGCCAGGAGGAACTTCCAAGGAATTTCCACCGACCATCCCCACATCTACCACCTGTGGGACTCTCCCCATACGCGGTAATGAGCCCGCGCGAGGAGTAAAAGATATACAATTATTATAATTTGCTAAATATTTAAAATATTGATATATTTTTATTTTATTTTATTGTATTTTCTTAACGTCCTTAATACTTAATGTCCTTTATACTTTAAAAAAAAAATAGTTTTCTCTTAGATCCTTCGACAACTTCCATCCAAAGCAGTCATATTCCTCAATTCACCAATTCCACTCTCCTTACCACCTAAAGCAGTTAATCCTTCTGAGGTGTATGAACGACTTTTCTGTATTCCCTAAACAAGTCGCCTATCTAATTAAGCTATGCTAATTTACAATGAAAACAAAAATTGTAACATAGTGATGTGATGTGCTATACAAAATGAGGTGCTATACAAAAAAATATATTATCTCTTTTCATGAAATTAAAATAAGCAATCAAGATTAATTAAACAAATTAATGGTACTTGTAAATATAAATAAAAAAGGAAAATAATCATACTTTTTTTGGTCAAAACTAATAAACAAAATTGATTAAACTAAATAAAGAATTTTGCCACTTATATTTATAGAACTAAGCTCAAAATGTGTGAACATCAAATAAGTATTGAGAAATATTATAATCTGTCTCAAAGGACATTTATAATAGTGTTCAAAGATTACATTCTCACTCTATGTACAATAAATAAAAACAAATTAAATAGAAAAATAATATATATATATATATATATACATATATATATATATATATATATATATATATATATATATATATATATATACACAATAAATAAGAATAAAATAACTTAAAATAAATAAATAAACACACACATACCTATATACACTATTTACAATCAGGCCAACTCCGAGCCAGACTTGTCCCTCCAACTGTGGAGAGAAAAGCATGACTCCAGGAGATCCCTGCACTTCTCTCTCAACCGCGTTACTGTGGCTAAACCCAGTGGAGATTGAGAGAGAGTGCTTTAGCCACATACACTCACAACTTAGAGTCGCAGAAATGTGTTCCGAGCCTTTTACATCCAAAACCATCCAGCCTAAAGTTCAGCGAAACACATTTTTAACCAGTAATCACCATAGGCTGGATAAGCAGAAATTTAAGTTAGAATGCCCAGTTTGTAAATCAAGCCATAAAATTATAAATTGCATTAAATTATGGATTGATGAGATGCTTGGAACCAATGAGAATGACTTTAGCCTTCTCCACATTAAAATTTAAATCATTGCTGGCTGCCCAAGTGTTAATACTATCTATATCTTCCTTTAGCCGTTGGATCGCCTCAAGCATCTCGGTGGGATGAAAGGAAAGGTAGATTTGAAAGTCGTCAGCATAAAGGTGGTATTGTGAATGATGGATGGAATCAGGAAGGTCGTTGATCTAGATGGAGAAAAGAGTTGGAGAGAGTGAAGATCCCTGAGGAACACCATGAGTTAGTATGAGAGGGGAGGAAGGAGTTTTATTGGGAATGATAACTGTTTGGACCTGTGATACAAGGAGGAAAACCACTTTAGGAATCTATTTGATGTGGAAATGTTTTGGAGTTTGGAAAGGGGGATTTCATGATTAGCGGAATTGAAGACTTGAAAAATCAAAGAGGACCATGATAGAAATTTCCTGGCCGTCTATGGAAAATTGAAGGTCTTGGGTTATTCTCAACAAAGCAGATTAGGTGGAGAA